CAATTTAGCACGGCCAATCCACCCTAACCTGCACATCCCTGGGCACTACAGGACAACTTAGCACGGCCAATCCACCCTAACCTGCACATCCCTGGGCACTACGGGACGATTTAGCACGGCTAATCCACCCTAACCTGCGTATCTTTGGACTGTGGGAGGAAACCCACGCAGACACGGGGATAATGTGCAAACTCCACACAGACAGTTGCTCCTAGGCTGGGATTGAACCCAGGTCCCTGGCACCATGAGGCAGTGGCACTAACCACTGAGACACCCTTACCACAGAGGGCTGGCAAGGCTGGGTCATTGATTATATTCAAGGCTGAGAGATTTTTAATCAGGAAGGGATTTGACAGGTTATTTGGGCAGGGGCGGGGTGGAGAAGGGAGGGGGAAGGTAAGAGATAGGCTGAATGGCCTGGTCCTCTGTTCTCAGGGTGGACTTTGCAGCCCCTGTGCCAGGGTGAGAGTTCACGTGGGGGGAGGGGTGCAGGGCGGTGGTAGCGTGGTGTGGTGATGCTGAGACGCTGGCCATGATGGGAGCGATAACTTTGAACACAGATGTGTTGGTGTATTGGGGGAATAAGCCTCTGCTCTGGTTTTGTTTCCGATGGCAGACTGACAGATGAAGAATTGGTACGGGCGTGTGGGGGCCGAACTGGGCACAAGTGAGTACACGTCAGCCTCCCCTCCCCTCCCTGCCTTTCAGCTTTTTCTGGTTTCCCTCTGAATGCTGGGGGCTGGAATTTGTCATACAGCATGGAAACAGACCCTTTGGTCCAACTTGTCCATGCTGTTTAAGTTTCCCAAACTGAACTGGTCCCATTTGCCAGCATTTCCTATCCCTGTCCCCATCCAGATGCCTTTTAAATGTTGTAATTGTACCAACATCCACCACTTCCTCTGGCAGCTCGTTCCATACACGCACCACCCCCTGCATGAAAAGTTGCCCCTTAAGTCCCTTTTAAATCTCTCCCCTCCCACCTTAAACCTATTCTCCTCTAGTTTTGGACTTGCCTACCCTGGGGAAAAAGACCTTTGCATATTCTCCTTATCCATGCCCCTCATGATTTTATAAACGTCTTTCAGATCACCCCTCAGCCTCCTACGCTCCAGTGAAAAAAAAAGTCCCAGCCTCTCCTTATAACTCAAACCCTCCAGCCGCGATAACATCATGATGATCTTTTCTGCACGCTTTTCAGTTTAATAACATCCGATAGCAGGGCGACCAGAATTGTACACAGTACTCCAAAAGTGGCCTCACCAATGTCCTGTACAACATGAAGTCCCGATTCCTGTACTCACTGCTCTGACTGATGTAGGTAAGTGTGCCAAATGCCTCCTTCCCCACCCTGTCTACCTGTGACGCCACTTTCAAGGAACTACGTACCTGCACCCCTAGGTCTCCCTGTTTGACAACACTCCCCAGAGCCTTACCATTAGTTGTACAAATCCTGCTCTGGTTTGCGCTACCAAAATGCAGTTTATCTAGGTTAAAATCAATCTGCCACTCCTCAGCCCATCTGTGATCAAGGTCCCATTATACTCTGAGGTAACCTTCTTCGCTATACACTATACCTCCAATTTTGGTGTCATTACGAACCCATACCTCTTATGTTCACATCCAAATAAATGACAAAGAGCAGGGGACCCAGAACCGATCCTTGTTGCACGCTGCTGGGTCACAGGCCTCCCGAGCGTCCCTGTACAGCCTCAACATGACTACTCAACTACTGTACTCAGCGTTAAGAGCGATGAAGGCAAGCGGGTGAAACATCAGGTTGTGGACTTGCTTGCAAACGTTTCGACACGCTGCTAAGTAACATCCAGTTTCACCAGAGGCGCACTGATGATGTTACCCCAGCGAAGCGTTTGCAACCAAACCCACTGGCCCGGCAAGCAAGCCTACAACCTCATCCACCACCCAAGCTCCACATTCTTCTCAAACTTTAAACCTATCCACCCGCAACTCCTTGGTCAAAGAATGAGTCTGCACCCCTAGGTCTCTCTGTTCAACGACGCTCCCCAGGGCCCTACCATTAATTGTACAAGTCCCGCCCTGGTTTGCCTGGCCAAAACGCAACACCTCGCATTTGCCTGTCCTGAGCCTCCATCTCTTTCTCTCTCTCTCTGTCTCCCGCAGAGGTGCCCGTCACGGCGTTACCATGAGTGCCAAACTCGTCCGGTTGGCAGAGCAGGAGCGCCAGTTCCTGGCAGGGTGCAGTCAGAGGCAGCGGGAGGAGGTGCCCCCGAGGGGGGAGGGCGCGGGGGGCGGCACGGTGAAGCAGAAGAAGAGGAAGAGGAGGGAGCGTGAGCTGGAGCACCGGCCGGCAGCGGTGGGGACAGGAGGAGGCCAGAGTGATGGGGGTGCCCCTGCCGAGGGGGCACCGGGAGGCACAGCAGAGCCGTCAGGTCCTACCGGGGTGGACGGAGACAGTGGCCATGCACGGACGAGGAGGAGGAGGAGGAGGAGGAGGAAGAAGAGGAGGAGGGGCGGAGGAGAGCAGTCGCCTCTCGGCTGATGGCTGCTCTCGGCTCTGGGACCTGACGCATTTCCCCCCACCCCACCTGCCGGCTACACAGGAATGGGTGTCCCCGGGCAGACAGCACCCCTCCTCGTGGATGTGACACTCGCTCTGAGCTCAAACTGTGAGCAGTCTCCCACCTGAGGCGCGAGAAAGAAGGGAACCGCTGAGAATACACTGGCGTAGTGACACAGTGCATTCCTCTAGCGCCTGTCCACCGGCTGAGAGCCTCCTGAAAGTCCTTCCACACTGATAAAGTACCTTTTTTTTCTTAAAAAAAATAAACAAACAATCTCTTGTTTTTGTTTGGAAAGTGACTGCGTGGGATTCTGCAAACAGCAATCCCGGGGATGTGACAGGATACTGGGAATGTCACCGGGGCCGGTAAGAGGGCCAGGCTCTACGGCCCCTGGTGTGGAATTTAAGCTCAATGAATCAAATCCGGAATCGGGAGCTAGTCTCGGGGATGGTGACTGTGACGACAGTCACAGTTGCAGTTTAAAAGCCCCCATTCTGGCAGGGCAGGGCGGGGCGGGGGGAGGAAATCTACCGTCCTTACCCCGCTCTGGACCCCACACGGTTGGCTCTTAACCAACCTCGGAAGCCACTGGGTTCAAGGGCAGTGAGGAATGGGTGACAAATACCAGCCTTACTAATGGTGCCCACGCCTTGCAGGATATGTTAATTATCACGCTAAATCGAAAGGAAGTCACATAAAGGTTCCAACTGAAGGCCTGCACTTCTAACTCAGCAGCTAAGCTCCTGTTCAGCGCTGAATCCTGGAACAAAGGCTTGGGTCGAGCAGGGCTCTTGCTGGTGGCTCAGGTCCAATATTTATCTCTCCATCAGGGATAGTCAGAACTGCCGCTGCTGGAGTCAGAGGTAACACAGTGTAGAGCTCGATGAACACAGCAGGCCAGGCAGCATCAGAGGAGCAGGGAGAGGAGCAGGGAAAGGACCCGTTTTCTGAAGAAGGGTCCCAACCTGAAACGTCAACTTTCCTGCTCCTCTGATGTTGCCTGGGCTGCTGTGTTCCTCCAGCTCCACTCTATCTCTCCATTGCTGTGTGGGTGGTGGGGGTTCTGGAGTCATGTGGAGGCCCAGTACACATAAGGGCAGCAGCTTTCCTTTTCCCCCATTACTGACCTCAATGAAGTTTAATTCACAAATAATTGACAGCTGTCATGGTCACCACCGCCAAGACTAGCTCCAGATTTGATTCATTGAATTTGAATTCCAGCAGGGGGCAGTGGTGGGGTTGGAACCTGTGACATTCCCCCCCCCCCCCATCCCTGAACGTTAGCCTCTGGATTACAAACCCAGTGCTATCCCACTGTCACTTTGCTATTGCAACAAAGGAGGAGGTCAATATGTCTTTATATACACACGCGCGCGCACACGCACGTTTCTCACAGTGCAGGTCGCTCTGTGGTTAGCACTGCTGCCTCACAGCGCCAGGGACCTGGGTTCAATTCCACCCTCGGGCGACTGTGTGTGTGGAGTTTGCACGTTCTCCCCGTGTCTGCGTAGGTTTCCTCCCACAGTCCAAAGATGTGCAGGTTAGGGTGGATTGGCCGTGCTAAATTGTTCCGTAGTGCCCAGGGATGTGCGGGTTAGGGTGGATTGGCCGTGCTAAATTGTCCCGTAGTGCCCAGGGATGTGCAGGTTAGGGTGGATTGGCCATGCTAAATTGCCCCGTAGTGCCCAGGGATGTGTACATTCGGTGGGTTTGGGGGGGAATGAGTCTGGGTGGGATGCTCTGAGGATTAGTGTGGACTTGTTGGGCCTATGGCCTGTTTCCATATTTAGGATTCTATAAAAAAAAATTAAAGCGGTTGTAATAAAAGCTGGGAAATTGGTTGTGGAGTGTTGCTAATGAGAAGGAATAAGCACAAAGCACATTGTTGATGCTTTTGAGCTTAGCAGGACATCCACCTTATGCAAACTCGGGGTGGAGAAAGGAAGGGGCAGGAGCTGGACGTTAAATTGATTTCAGGTAACATTATAGTTTGACCACTCTCAGATCTCAAAATACCACTTGCTGCTGCCCCCAAGTGGCACATTGTTTAAAGAAAAAAAAATTGGATGGTTTTAGATTGAGAAAAAGATTCCTATCGAGTGAGGACGCCTCACATAAGGGCACAGTGTATGAGAGCGAGATAATTAGGGGTGGGGATGAATCTCAAGGGAAGTCTTGTTACACTGTCGGAGGGTCAGCACTGAGGGAGCGGGCACTGAGGATCAGTGCTGAGGGAGTGCAACACTGTTGGAGGGTTGGCATCAAGGGAATAGTCCCATTGAGAGATTTGATGGCCAAGAAAGGTGATTTGATAATGCAGTCAAACAGGTTGAGTGCAATTTATAAATTCCTTCCAACGCACACCAAGGGCAGGTAGTAAGAGGGAGAATGGGTTTGCTGCTCAGCTCGAAGGTAAGTCAAAGCCCTGACCTCAGTATCCGGAGCTCCAGTGTGTTAAGATGCATGTTGCTTCAGGAACATCACCCCTGTCTACATCAGTGGAGCTGAGGTAGACATGGTCGAGAGCGTCAAATTCCTAGGTTTGATGAACACCAATCTGTCTCAATCCACCCATGTTGCTGCAATGGTAAACACAGCACAACAATGCCTCAATTTTGAGGCAGCTAAGGAAATTTAGCATGTCCATAAAGACACTTACTGATTTTTGTAGATACACTGCAGAAAGCATTCTGTCAGGATTCATCATTGCTTGGTGCGGCAACTGCTCTGTCCAGCACTGTGGGAAACTACA